GGGTTAGGATTGGAAAAACTAGGTGTCCAGGTACGATTTTGATGGTTGCATTGGGCTTGGAATGGGAAGAAATGTTGAGCTGTGCAAAAAAACCAACTCTGGGGCGGGGGGGGTTTAAAAAATCACATTGTTTTCAATGGAACAAACGCCCTATATTAGGGTTAGGGATTTTCACCAGGCTAGGGGTAGGGTTACAAAAACCAGGTGTCCTGCCACGATTTTGAAGGTTGCATTGGCCTTGGAATGGGACGAAATATTGAGCTGTGCAAACAAACTAACTCTGGGAGTGTTTTTAAAAATCGCATTGTTTTCCGTGGAACAATAGCCCTATAATAGGGTTAGCAATTTTCACCGGGCCAGGGTTAGGGTTGAAAAACCAAGGTGTCCAGGCAAGCTTTTGCTGCTTGCATTGGGCTTGGAATGGGAAGAAATTTTGAGCTGTGCAAAAAAACCAAATCTGGGGGGGGGGGGTTAAAAAATCACATTGTTCTCAATGGAACAATCGCCCTATATTAGGGTCAGGGATTTTCCCCAAGCTAGGCTTAGGGTTGGAAAAATTAGGTGTCCAGGAACGATTTTGATGGTTGCATTGGGCTTGGAATGGGAAGAGAGTTTGAGCTGTGCAAATAAAGCAACTCTGGGAGGGTTTTTTAAAAATCGCATTGTTTTCAATGGAACAATGGCCCTATATTAGGGTTAGGGATTTTCACCATGCCAGGGTTAGGGTTGAAAAACCAAGGTGTCCAGGCAAGCTTTTGCTGCTTGCATTGGGCTTGGAATGGGNTGGAATGGGAAGAGATGTTGAGCTGTGCAAAAAAACCAACTCTGGGAGGGTTTTTAAAAAATCGCAGTGTTTTCAATGGAACAATTGCCCTAAGTTAGGGTTAGGGATTTTAACCACATTAGGGTTAGGGTTGGAAAACCAATGTGTCCAGGCACGCTTTGCTACTTGCATTGGCCTTGCAATGGGACAAAATGTTGAGCTGTGCAAAAAAACCAACACTGGGAGGGCTTTTAAAAAATCGCTTTGTTTTCAATGGAACAATCGCCCTTTATTAGGGTTAGGGATTTTCACCAGGCTAGGGTTAGGGTGGGAAAAACAAGGTGTCCAGGCACGATTTTGATGGTTGCATTGGGCTTGGAATGGGAAGAGATGTTGAGCTGTGCAAAAAAACCAACTCCGGGAGGGTTTTTAAAAAATCGCACTGTTTTCAATGGAACAATCGCCCTATATTAGGGTTAGGGATTTTCACCAGGCTATTGTTAGGGTTGGAAGAACAAGGTGTCCAGGCGCAATTTTTATGGTTGCATTGGGCTTGGAATGGGAAGAGATGTTGATCTGTGCAAAAAAACCAACTCTGGGAGGGTTTTTCAAAAATCGCACTGTTTTCAATGGAACAATCGCCCTATATCAGGGTTAGGGATTTTCACCAGGCTAGGGTCAGGGTTGGAAAAACAAGGTGTCCAGCCAAGAGTTTGATGGTTGCGTTGGGCTTGGAATGGGAAGAGATGTTGAGCTGTTCAAAAAAACCAACTCTTGGAGGGTTTTTAAGAAATCGCATTGTTTTCAAAGGAACAATGGCCCTAAAGTAGGGTTACGGATTGTAACCAGATTAGGGTTAGGCTTGGAAAACCAAGGTGTCCAGGCACGCTTTTACTGCTTGCATTGGCCTTGGAATGGGACGAAACATTGAGCTGTGCAAAAAAATCAACTCTCGGAGGGTTTTTAAAAAATCGCATTGTTTTCAATGGAACAATGGCCCTAATTAGGGTTAGGGATTTTCACCAGAATAGGGTTAGGGTTGGAATAACAAGGTGTCGAGGCACAATTTTGATGGTTGCATTGGGCTTGGAATGGGAAGAGATGTTGAGCTGTGCAAAAAAACCAACTCTGGGAGGTTTTTTCAAAAATCGCATTGTTTTCAATGGAACAATCACCCTATATCAGGGTTAGGGATTTTCACCAGGCTAGGGTCAGGGTTGGAAAAACAAGGTGTCCAGGCACGATTTTGATGGTTGCATTGGGCTTGGACACCTTGT